AACAAGTCGTTGATACGCGGCAGTGAAAACGCGAAGAACGCGGCGGACGATTTCACGGAAAACGATTAATCATTCGTCTGTGTTGCTCGATCGGGACGAATCGATCCATATTTCAAATAGATCTTCTCCGCCCCTGTAGATACAAAAATAAAAAGTTTATCCTTTGCAATTTATCTGATACCACGTTTGATCCATTAACGACCACGGATATCGTATCTGACGTTGACAATTACGAAATAGGAATTCTTAGGAGAACGATGCTTAGATTAATTAACGCTTCGATCAGATTTCTAGGCATCGACGAAAGTTTTGTTTCAGCAAATCTAGTTCTATCGTACCGGCGAAAGTAAGATTTTAATTGTTCTGGCACGGTTCGAGCAACATTTTTACAAGCGTAGGCTGCGCCGATAGATAGAGGGAGAAACCAAGGTCCGATTACTTCACTCGTCGGTGTAAGTTTTTATGATTCGCCTCTGGTTCGCCCAGTTTTTCCTCATTGCGCCGCTGGTCCAGAAGACCTCGAGGGCCGTTCGCCGCCGGCGACGGTCAACGACCGGAAAATACTTGCAAATTACGAAGAAGAATACGACGAAGAAGAGAATCGGAAAAGAACTATCCGCGATTAAGACTTCGACGGAAGCTCGTTGGCCATATAACGACCCGCAGACCCACATTTTCACTCTGTTTCCAACGAGACTCCTGTTTATCTCTGCTACGACACCGTTTCGCATCCATCATCATAAAAGTCCATTTACAGAATTACTAAAATTAGTTTAAAATATTTGTAGACACGAGCGAAAGAGTGGATGCGTTCATCGTTGCGTACACATTTTAATTCCTAAAAATGATTCAGTTTATAAGCATAAACGATATTCGATCAGCATTCGCGAGTAGAGACCACCCAGACGGTCAAAGTATTAGTTTTCGCTGTATTAATTACGATCGAAACGAACGGCTGGGGATCACTGTAATTATAAACGTCGCGATCGCAAAGTTATTTTAGAAATTACGCAAATCTGTTCTTTCGAGTTGAACGAACCGTTGCTGCTCGGTTTCGAACGACCATCTTATGGGGAAAAAAAAAATTAATAACGCGCGGACAGTCTCAGTCCATGATTTACGTGCTCGCAGCGAGCTTGAAAATTATCGTCTGCTTCGACTTCGTTTCGGCGCGGAATTCGTTCCGCTCGCGCGTACGTACTCATTCTCTCGCCCGGCTTGGAAAAATAGAGAAAAGAATCGAAACTTCACCGTTATGTTCACCCAACTCGCGCCATAATTACAGCATGGACTTGCTACTTGCCAGATGTATACAGCCAACGATGCGGTCCCGCGGAAGCTGCGGAGATACCTTGTTCGTGCCGCGTTTATAATGAAGTACAGCCGCTATGATCGTCGATCTTTAATACGCGCGATCGTTCTTCTCCAACTTACGTCGCGTGTCATTTTACGAGGCGTAATGTGGACGCTCGGTCATAAAGTATCCCGTACGGCCTTCGTTTTCGCGTCTATCAATTCCAGGTTTCAAGCGCCATGCTAGCTTCCACCAATCGAATGGAACTGTACACTTTTGAAAAAAATTAGTTGTACGTCAGCTTCTAAGCTCTGAATCGTTCCGATATTAAATCAACCACGGTAAAATAATAATAGATTGTTTTGAAATGGACGCTGAGGGTTTGGTATTTGGATAGTCTTCAATATCAGGTTTCCTACGAAACTGTTAGCTTTCGTGAATCAAAGTTATTCGTGCGCTTTCAAAGTAAAGTACGGTGTAAAAGGTAATAAAAATTAATATCTTATGTGCTCTAATGAGCACTTGCGAATAAATACCTCGGTGTAGATCTCATAAGCAACGAGTCATAATAATTAAGATAAGATGAGAACACGTTAAACAGGTTCACTCGTATATTTCTAATAACAACCTTCCTATCATGTGAGACGTCTGTATTCGAGCCTATCAATGAACTATATAATTATTAAATGCTAGAAATACTTCGAGGAAAGGAGAAAATATATGTATAAAGGACTACTTTATTAAGAAATAATTAAATTCTAGGGGAACGTTCAAATTTTATAATGATTTGTTTTTCAACTTGAAATCTGCAGAATAAATATTAAAATTTCTAGCGATTTTTCTTATACTTCTATTTAAAAATCAAACGAAGTGTCTTGACAGTCATTCGTGTATGAGGAATGCTCGCAAGATCGATCCTCTCTTTTCTTTTTTAATCTCTGTACTATTTAATCGTGTCTGTTGTCGCAGTTTGGAACAAAAATCGAGAAACAAGTATAATACTCTTACCTCTGCTTCGTTGTCGTTAATATTTTACAACAGTTAAAACTATAGTCGGAAGGATAATCATCTTCCGATTCCTCTCTTTATCCTTGGCTTTCACTTTCCTCGTCGATGGCTGTCGTAGTCTGTCTTCTTTTTCCAGTGCAGTTTTTTTTTTCTTTATGGAAATACTCTAACACGTTGCGCGTTCCGTGCAAAAAGGAACGGACGTCTCGTAAATGTAGCTTCGCGAGTTACTCGAGTACAGACACGAGATTCAATGAAGAGCCACGGACGTTGAAAGTGTAACTCAACCGGTCTTCCACTTTATCATGAACTATAGTGACTTGCTTGTTCATGTGTGCTGTTAGAAGTCGCAGCTACGTACACCGTGTTTCCTTACAGTTCGGTAACACAAGTAGGATAAGCACGTTATACAGGGTGATCCCGCGTTAAACGGTCGAACGCGAATTTAAGACACGAAACGAGAAAAGGATCGTTGGAGGTACATATCCTGTTCCATTATTCTTTTTTTCGAGTTCTGTTGCATTTGGGTTACGAGGTCTCGATACGAAACTGGTTTTTCTTTATTTAGTACAACCGATGTAGCTTCTTTTGCAGTCGCCTCAACGACAAGCTATCACAGCCGATGGGTTATATTTTCGTTGTTAAATCTAGTTAACTTTTTGTTTGGAGGTATCGTTTTTTTAGAGAAATACCGATGCTCGACTACGCAAAGGAGCAAAGAATATTCCTGTAAGGAATGATTGGCTTATTGGAACGTGCAAACGTTCTTTCGCGCCAACCGGATTCACAGGATGTATGTACATACTTCTCGGCCAGGAGTTAAGGTTTTGTCGATCGCTAGGATCTTGGACTTTGACCGAGAGTTATTTAGTGTTTGGTTCGGAGAGTGCCGCTATCCGCGTAGGTAAAGACTTTTCTCGTTATCCATTGCTTGCCCCGAGGCATAGACTGAGATTTAAGTTCCCTTTTTCAGCCCAGTAAAATGAGATGTTTTAAAAAAAGAAAAGATTTAGCATCAGAACTGGACGCGTTGGGGCAATTCTTCGTTGAGCACATTGCTACTCTACGCAACAGTTTACAAGCCGTTTAAGACTCGTGACAAATTATACTGTCAACGTTTTCATTAATAAACTATCATTATATTACCGTGTAATGGACATTATCCTTCCTTGACTACATCAGAACTATTTCTGTTCGAAATTAACCTTCCACTGTGTACTTCAGAAGCGAGGACATTAGTAAGGCAATTACATTATGCGAGTAAATTACTGTTGACCCTTGAACAACGCGGGAGTTAGGGACGCCGACTCCTGGCGTGTAATTTTATGCTAAAAAATAGTCTTATTTTATGTATTATATGCACTGTTACTGCCCTCTTACAATACAATAATTACCGATGTAACATAGGCGTAACGCCGGTATTATTAGTATCTCGAGATGAATAAATTATAAATTAATTTAAATAATACGCGTCGATCGATTGCGGCCACTTCAGCCACTGATGGATGTTCCAAGGTTTTTCGACTCTCAATATTTATTTTTCTATTTTGAGCACTCACGTACTCAACGAAACAGAAAACTAAAATGAAACACTTGAGCAATTTCTTTTTTGTTCTTTGTAATTTCATGAACATTAGAATCGATATTACAAAGCTGAGAAAAGGGCATCCAAACAATAAGAAAACATTAAATCATGTACAGATAGCTTTATCCTCAGCTTTCAGTGCTTATATCGGTAGCTGTCGTAGCCTGTCTTCTTCTTCAATTGCAGCTTCGCTTCTTTTATTGGAAATACTCTAACATGTGGCAGAGATTGTGCAAAAAGAAACGAACATCCAGCGCGTAAATGTATCTTCACGAGTTATTTAACTACAGGCATGAGATTCAATGAAGAACCGTGGACTTTGAAAGAGTAACTCAACCGGTCTTTCACTCTATCATGATCTGCACTCGTAATATCTGCTCAAGCGTGCTGTTAGACATTGCAGCTACATCATGTTTCGACAAAGAAACGAAAGAAAGAAAATAACTTCTATACGAAGACATTATCTACATAGTAATGTATACGTTATTAATATCTGTATGTTTCTTTGTACGTTCGCAGAATTGCTTGTTCTTAGTTGAAAAAGCTGAATCAAACGAAAAGGAATCGCAGATTGGGAATATAATGTTTTCCAATTCATTGAGTCTCGATTCATAGATCAAAACGACAAAAATATTTTCTCGAGCAAAATTTATTCAGGGAAATTTCGATAACAACGGAGGAGAATTTTCATAAAAATTGCTAATTATCGCAAACTTTGAGTACTCGAGTAGAAAAACGATCGACAGTTATTACGTTTCGCGATTTAAGATCGAAGCCACGAGAAGAAAATTCTGTCCCGTGCCCTATTAGATTCCCTTCGGAAGAGTCGGAGGTGTTCAAGGTCGACGCGAGTATGAATTAACAATCTCACGAATGATCGATTGTCTTATAATCGCGAATACAAGTACATCGTAGATTATAGAAACGAATAGACCATTAAAATCCGACGCGCAATGCACACAGCATGCAAAATGATGCTCGTTAACGCGTTGCTTCTTCCCCACTAACGATGGACATCAATCACGGATGGAGGCTGCGATTATTTCCTGGAAATCGCTTGCGCCCGAATAATGCGATAAATCCTAAGATTTTATTAAAACGAAACCTGTCCACTGTCTTTTTATCTTAGTTTATTCGATTCTTGGTATACGTTGTACAAATGGATGATTGCAATGACTGACGGTTACATTGTAACGCGATTAATGCGGTCTTCTGTTTACGTGTTACGGTTCGTTACATTATTACGCTTAGTCGACTTTAGGCAGCATGACATCTAGTAACTTCTTCACCCTTGTTGTTTCGTTTCGATTATTTACCCCTGTGAATGAAATTGGTTCTTGTTAGACATCTACGATTCGATGGACGTTTACGCGAATCGACGAAACTTTGTACGTACCAACTTCCAGCCGATGCCGAAGCTTGGGCATAGGAACCACCTCCACTGCCACCACCATTGCCACTAAATTTACATAAAAACGAATGTATTGTACAGTGTATTAAATGCTTGACAAATGGTGGGATAGAATTGTGACGTAAAATCATTTAGATTAATGCAGTTGTGCAGGATGATCCTTCGGAAGTGTCGATTCTTGAACCCAAACTAGGGCTAGGACTAATCGTGGAATTTAATATTCAAGAATTCGAATACTGTGAATAAAAATGTCGTTTCTACAGTTTGAGATATAGATATAGACTTTGAGATGAAACTGGAAAGCTATTGACTTTTTCTTACCAAAAAGAAATGTATAAAATACAGGGTGGATAAGACCGTTATCGGAGTAGCTAAAGAAAAATGTCAATGGGAGAAGATGAATGGTTCAGAATTTGAATATTGTTACGATCAAGAAATTGGGCATTTTTATGAGATGTATAGTATTATGAATTAAAAATATACCATGTACTGCAACCTCCTCCAGACGGATGGTAGGATGGATATCCAGCTACAACAGGTACAACAAGTATGGGTATAACACCAACTGTTTGTTGTTTCTTTCCTATAAAACATATTTTGCGTGAGAAGCGTAAGCGTCGCGTTGCTGCAGTTCTCCTGAACTCATCACGTCACAATATATCACATGATATGTGGCACTGTCGTTGTTGTCATTATATTACCATTTAATCTAAATCATGCTTTAACGAGAAAATCAGAAACTTTCCTTTTTCGAATTAAAATCATGCTTCTACTTCATGCTTTTTTTTAAAGGGAGATTAGTAAAACGACTACGTAATGCAACTAAATTATGTATCTAATTATAACGTTAAGTGTGGTTTACTATCGTTAATTTAATGTTCTATGTTGCCAGGTTGCGTTTAATTAACCAATGCCCATCATTCGGATTATTTCTTTGTAGCTTTGTGCAAGTTGTTAGTATTCCTAATAAATCATACCGTTAGTTGGCATTCACTGCAGCTTCGATAATTGCATTATAGCGGAAGCGTGCAAAATATTTTGTTAGCCCTGTCGTACTACTGTAATCAACGCCGCTTTTTAAAAACAAAATTCAATTTCCTCGTATCAACAAAATCGTTGTATCCTTCAGTTATTATTTGAAAAACAATTTTTACCAAAAATCATGATCAGAATAAGAATAAGATTCACCCCAATAGAAATTATTGCATTGTTTGAATCTAATGAAAAGATTGTCACTTGAAGGCGAGAATTACAATAGTACGTGAGAAACTAAAGTGTCGATATTCTACTGTAGACGAGGTATTTGAGTAGATTTTCCACCTTACGGACTTTCATGCCCCAATTTGACTGCCATACCGACATGAAATCATGGATGGCGGTCAGTTGAGAACCTATTGGTTGAATTAGTATCGATGGGCAGACAACTGCATGTGGGTTGACTGTGGAAGGGGTCGAAATTCATTTCTGAATCCGTTGGTAACGTTGGGAGTGACACGAAAATGGTAATAGCGACTGGAGATCGCAGAAAAATGGGGCGAACACCTCGTATACCTCGTCTGTGATTCTACATTACACTTATATACCTCCACCAGATTAATATGGACATCCTCCACCATGACAGCCCATACCTCCTCCGCATCTTCCTCCACTACATCCACCACCAGGGTAGAGACCTCCATTATCAATACGGTGACCACCACCTCCACCACCGGTAGGATAACCACCTCCTCCGCCACCGGTAGGATAGCCACCTCCTCCGCCACCGGTAGGATAGCCACCTCCTCCGCATCTTCCTCCATTACATCCACCAGCGGGAAGACCCCCATAATCAATATGGCGAGCACCAGTAGGGTAACTTCCACCGCCACATCCTCCTCCGCCACATCCTCCGCCGCTAGGGTAGCTACCTCCATATCCTCCGCCGCCGCCACCGCCGCCGCCGCCGCCGCCGCCGTGGTAACTCAGTAGGCATTTCAGACAGGGTGTCCTCTTGTTACGAACTTTCTTCAACATGTCTACTTTGGGCGCGCCCGATAGCGTGTTATCGAAGCTATCTTTGTCGAGATGAACTTTGAGCACTCTCGTCTCGCCAGCATGCTGGATCTTCTCTACCTTGAAGCCCTCGTGAGTTTCTAGATCGGTCGCCACTTCGTCGAGATTCACCGGCTCGTTGGTTTCTGTTTCGTCCTCGTCAACCTCGATGAGCAGAAACACGGTGGCCAACGGCTCTGTTTGCAACGTAATCAATTATTCTCTTAACTGTCGATGGTAAATATTTCAGGGACTGATTCTACGGATAAGATGAGAACCAAGAACGACGATCTGTATTGAATTTTGCAATCCAGAGAAATTTCGATCAAGTCAAAATGATAAATGACGATCCAACGAATGAGTAATTCGCATAGATCCATCGATATTGTCACTGCAGCGTCAGTAACTCGTTTCTCCGCTGGTGGCGCTAATCTCTGATGACCTCGCGACATCATCAATGATCGCGGATGTACATCTGAATTCAATACACTAGAACCTCCATTATACAACCCTACGTTATTAGATTGTTCAACCATCCGAGGGGTTATTATTCAAACATTTTACTACTCGAATGGAGTACGTTTTCGTCGAGTTTCTTTATCCTTCTCAAAATATTTTTCCGTAATCGAAAACAATAAATATGAGAAGCAATTTAATGCGAATAATGAATAATAATGTATACGTTGAAGGATAGAAAACGTACTGTATCGAAAAAACTACTATTATTAGTATTAAAAATTAATAAGAGTTTTCCGGGGAACCGTGGTATTAGAAAAAGGGCTTACATTGGAGACATATTGAAAATTTTTTAGGATCTAGCAAAAGATAAGTGAAGATGACTGAGAAGATTGAATTGAAATTTATACTATAAATTGCTTGAATCTTGAATGTTCTGGTAACTGGTATCACTTGTATTTTCTCTTTTTTCTCTATAATCTCTATGAATTGTAGTGCCAAATACTGGGAATCAACAACTGCATAATTTATGTTTACTTACCTTCCAAGTTTTTAATTTTATGGGTAATCTCGTTGTCGAGCATTTCATCCGAAGTCTCGCCACTGGCATTTTTGACACCATAAACATTTACGACAAAGAGCACGTATTGATGTTCATTTTCAGGCAATGGCGGAGGCTTCAGTTCGGTTGATAAAGTAGTGTCTTCTGTGTCAATTCCTTCCGCAACTGTGGTTCGTTCTAAAAGTCACATTATCACGTACGAGATATAAAATACTGTTATCGCAAGGTTGACTGAATGTTTGCAATTTGTACAAAAAACAAGAAAAAAATTCTATAAAATTCTCTTATTTTTAACACAAATAAATAAATAACAATATATTTTAGTAACTTAGATCTCAATGTGAAGTACATACTACACATAACCACATACATAATGCACAAAAAGATATATAGAATTTAGAAAAAACTACTTTTTCACGAAATTATTCTTTTCTCTGTTTGATAAACTGTTATTAAATACAATATACAGAATATAAATCCTTATCGAGTTCTTAAGAGCCCATTCGAGTGATTAATATGACCATAAACAAATAAGTAGGAAAAGAAAATAGTGATATAAAAGAACAATAAACAATAACAATGAAGTATTTTCATACCTGGTGTTGGTATGGCCGAAAGGGCCGTGACAAGTAAAAGCAGGGACAAAGCCCTGAGGCACTTGGACGTTACGCTAGCCATTGTGAAGAGCTTGGAACTCTTCGCGTTGCACTGTGCTCTGATCCTTTCATCTTGCCGCTTTTATAGCCATCGATCTTTACACATGCACGATTCTAAGATAATTATGTAAGACCGCTGGTAACGCGAATCCACCACTCCGCGACTTTTCCGTCACAGCGTCTGTTTACCGTGGTTGCATCTTTCGATTTTTGGTTTTCCCGCGGGGATTCCAATTCCGTCCAAACACGCGCAATGTGACGTTACTGTTATTAAGCCGGCGTGAATTCAGGTAAACGTTTCGTACGATTCGTCGATACCTATCGTTGATCAGGTGTATCGTCGAGACCAAGAAAGTGCAATTAGTGCCGAGTGGACAGTGGAACAGCAATTATTGTGTGTTTGTACAGTGCACGTACACGTGACTTTTGAACGCATCGCGTAAACTATATTGATAACGTATCGTGCAAAAATTTATCAATTCCTCGAACGCGTTAAAATTACTTCATCACTTAATACGTAAATTCAAATTGAAAATCCTTAATCGACGTTATAGATGCGATGATATGTTGCGAAAACGTTCTTGATTAAAACAATGGATATTCTATATTCGTTATTAAGAAATTATACGATATATTTTTTGGGCTTAAATTAGGAAAAAATGTTCTGTAAACTTGTGTTATTTAGAGGTTGGTTTAAAAGTTACATATATGAAATAGTAATACTGCCGATACAGTGTGTGAATATATCAATAATATTTACACTTAGTCTATCTTCGTTTAATCTAGTAAATATTTACTATCTGAGGTTATTAAAAGTGTCGTGATGTTTTTAGCAATTTTTCATGATCGATTAATGTCACATCTCAAACTCGTGGTTCAGGATTTCGAAGCTCGACAACTAACAGTATTAGCAAAAATTATGCTTATAATTTTTGACAGGCTCAAAAGTACAATTTAGTCTAGTTTTATCTAATCTATTGTTATAGTATTGGATCGTATTATTACTAATTAATTAGTATCTTTTATTTGATAACACGTAGATTATTATTCTAGAAGAATTCTCATAATAATTTAGGAACTATTAAGGAAAATTTCTGGATTACCAGTAAAATAAAGAAAAGAATTTTGCACTTTTCGTAGGAAATAAAATTATGTTTCATAGGATTTTCTACTTCTTACTTGCTTAAATCTAGCTTTAGTCGAATGCTTTGTCTATTGTGAAAAATTCGTAATCGTCTTGATGTTGTGAAGTGTGGTAGCCTCCGTTTATTCCTAATAATACTACAATCATAGATTCAACGGCTTGTTATTTTGCATCAACCGCAAGAATTCTACCGAGCGGTGGCAAAATCGCGATTGAATATTCGTTGCGTTATGTTTTATTGCATATTATATTAATTTATCAAATATATTTTGTACACGTTGGCATACTCCCCACAAATCCAAAAAATTCCCCAGTCTATAAATCACAAATAATTTTTGTTTCTAAATTCAGTTCTCGTTTCAATGCTCTATGGTTTGCATATTTCCCATCTGTTTCCACTAAAAAATGATGTAATTGTAGCAAAAAATTATGAGAAAAATCACTGATAAAAAGGAAGTTGTACGCTAATAATTGCGCTCGGAATATTAATGAAATTCATCGAATATTTTCCAAGAAGAAAATGTGAATTACCGTATACGATTACAAGTTTATTATACGAATCCACGTAAGTATAATAACACTGCGTAGCTTCTTTTCCTTAATCATTAACAATTGTAGGTGTTTCTTCCGTGTAAATCAGTTGTACTTTATTTTGTTGTTCAAGGCTGGAGCGAGAATTACCTTCCCTGGTGTTAGAAGTGGATTGCAATAATTATCACAGCATTCGGTATTGTTTGTTTCAACTTATGAAAGAAAACTGATTCAAATTGATTTCTGTGGACTCACAATGATTATGTCTTGTTTGTTTATAATTGTCAATTTGCTGTTATATATCGAACGCGAATATAATAACAATAATTGCGAAAAGTCGATTAAAAATGCCAGTGAGTTCAACGCTCGGTAGAAGCAATTGTTCTTCTCGATAAAGAAAGAAGGAAATGATCTATTCAGTGAAAGTATTTTACCTTTGTTCACCAAGAACGGAAGACATTCGATAAACACAATTTACATATTGCTAATTGAATAAGTATTTTTCTCGAATGTATTATTCTTAATTTCATTTAACTAAAATTGCTTAAATAAATCGACTTGCGATCGTGTGTTGCGTCAGCTAACAAAGAGGTGTGAAAAATAATGTAATTATGTACATCAACTGTAATCATGCATTTGTTACGCGAATGCAAAGGTTCGAATGAATGTATTCGATAGGACTAATAATAGTCGTTAAATTTACGACTACTTTGATTCAGAAATATTCTTTTTAATTAAAATTACATCAGTGTGCTGCATACGTTTTCGCGTTATTTATGCACGATGCTTCATGTACATCCATCATACCATCGTTTCGATACTATGAATATCGTGAAATATTCTTAAGAACGAAATCAATATGAAAAATATATTGTAAATTGTGAAATCAATATTATGTCGATGTAAATTAATTATTTGAATGTATTAACTAATACATTGATACATTTTGGAAAGTTGTTTGATTTTTGTTTATTATGTAGGATAAGGAATAATGACGCTTCTGTTTTATAAATCACGAAACATTTGTCGTTCTAAAATTCTTTTGCACGCAATTCATGATTAACCGACCATAAAAAAAAACAATGAAAAAAAAAGTGATAGCAATCGATGCTGTACGTTTTCCACGATGAATTATCATCGTAGGATTTGCGTTCACGCGATGATGCATAAATAGACGTAATTACAAATGCTAAGAGAACTACTTCGCGTGTTTATTTGTCCTTATGACTCAATTTGAACTAGGTTGGTAATTCATGAACGAAAAGATGAGATCATTGCATCGTGTGGTTCGTACAAATCGTATAAGTCTAAAAGCAATCCGACCAGTCATCGTACTCATCGTTTCCTGTTGATTGTTTCAGAATCTTAATCTTTCGCGACCTTGGCCTACCAAGGCGAATCCAAGCTACGAACAATAAGGAACTCGTAATTTTCAATTTGTCCGATAAAGAGATAAAAGTTCATAGAAAGTGATAACTTTTCTTATACAAATTATTATTCGTATAAATACATAAAATCAAGATACGAGTATTGAAGAAATATTTCGAAACGTGTTTTATTTATCTCATTTATCTCAATGAGAAAAATAGAAGAACGTTTTATCGATTTACGTTTGAGAAAACAGATATTCCATGAATCGATTATGATTAATGTAACTAATTGTAATTTTCCACGAATCGCATACATTATTAATTAACAGGCGTTTAAAATCCCAAAAATATACTATAATGTTCGTTCGATTAGATCGATGCAAATCTTTAGATATTACATGATTATTTAGTGGATTATATTATTTATATTGTAATATTTTAGAATTTCTCTCTATGACATTCCACGTTCCTTTCCTCATAGCCTAGTTAAAAATCCAAGATAAGTCTACCAATATATTTCATAATACCAATTGCTATTACATAAATAATTTTTGACACTCGTGCGATTTTAATCCAGATAATGCAATAAACCAGTGTATTGCATTTCACAAATACAACGTTTAAAATATTTGCATGCCATTTTTAATTAAAAGATTGACGTTGTTAGTCAAAGACGTTGCTTTCAAACCTTAAATTAAAAGTTGCAATTAAAAATCTGGTACAACTCTGATACGTAACTTTATCTGGTGGAATTATATATTATTAAAATTTGTCTTTTTTAATATTCGTTTGCGAAGAGCAATACACTACTCACGGCTTTGCAAATTTTAATAACAACTAAATACAATCAGAAATAATATTTCTGTCATCGATAACAGTTGTGAGTTACCAAAATGAATTTTCCTCATTGAGAATGGTTATCAACAACAATCATAAATTATTATGTCCTGGTTTATTTTATCTTTCGTTCGAAAGGAGTTGCGTTCACGACGCTGATTTATTCTCGAAACAGCTAAAAGCACCTTCCACGACGTGTCATTTTGGGACCATTTCGGGAAATTCATTCGTGATCGTCATTCTGGTTAATTCCACCGAATGCAAAGATGTACGAGAATCAAACACGTATTCATTTTTGTAAGTGACGTTCTTAGAACAATATAAAGAAGAGTTTACTGGTTTAATTGACCACGGATAGCGATAATATACGGATATGCAATTACGGAACCGTCTAGTGTATTAGACGTCTTGTACATACGCGCACGGGAATTTTCTAAATTGCTACTCGCTTAGTCACTTTGAGCACGAAACGGAACGATTCATTGAAAAAGGGTACATTATTACGATACGTAACTTCTTATAATCACAAGATCTTAATAATATCTGTAAATATTTGAAGCAAACAGTGAAAATGTATTTTTCTTTGTTCGATAATGAATTTTTTATCAGCTTAATAACCGCGCGAGATAATTAAGATCTGACTTTGGGGTTTTCCGAATCAGTAATTTAATTTTTTCGTTGACGTATTTGAATGCATCGTGTCCACGGTTGTGCAGATTACTAAGAATTTCCATTCCGCATTTCCGGTGAATACATGTATGGCATAATACAAGCCATTGACCAACGTGATTCATTTCCTTGTTTCTCTCGAGACACTTGATTCAAACCAAATAAGTTTTCGAAAGAAGCTTGAAAATGTAAATAAATAATGTTTGACAAATAAATAAGTTAAAATCCATTCGATTGACCAAGAGATACTTTGTATTCATCGTCTACACATTGCATTCGAACGTATTCGTTTTATTTTTTTTGGAAATTATCATTCGTAGATTAATTTTGAATTTAATTAATGTCCAAGGAGGGTCGGTATATTTTTTTTCTCTGGTAGTTTATATTAGGAAAATTTGTGTAGTTCACTAAAAATATCCATCGATACGAGCATAAAGTAAGTTATCAACTTGAAATTAACGCAATTAATACAACACTCATCGAAGAAGCTTTTACATAAACCTAGAATACAATTATCATACATTTTTGTTCCTTTTTAT